GGGCACCATCAGCTTTCTTCACCACATTTGCTTATGCACCCGCTTTGTCTTCAGCAATTGTGTCGGGATAGGCTGGTGTACTTCTTCCACGTGGGCTTTGTTGTTTCTCAGCTAGATAGCCGCCTGTTTATCTTCAAGCCTTTAAGACCCCAGACACTATATCTTTTGATAGCCAGGCATCATCAGCTTTCTTCACCACATTCGCTTATGCACCCGCTTTGTCTTCAGCAATCGAGTCGATAGTGGGACAAGAGAAAAGTACAAAGAAATAGAGGAAAGAACTAGGAGGCAAAGGACATTTATAGAGATCTAAATACAGGCATATACAGATGTAAATATATTTATATGCGACGAGGGGGAAATATATCTATGTACATATATTTATAGGTTTAGTAATAAGGAAACAGATGGATAGTGGGCCCCTACTCAAGTACTCCCTCAACACAAGAACACTTTGTTCTAGAAAGTAAGCATTCTGAGATGCTCACCTTCCTGGCATAATCGCTGAAGACAACGGGGCCGTAAGCAAATGTGGTGAAGGAAGCTGATGGTCCCCGGCTATAAAAAGATATAGCATCTGAGGTCTTAAAGGCCTGGAGATAAAACAAGCAGCCATCTAGCTGAGAAACAACAAAACCCACATGGAAGAAAAACACCAGCCTTTCCCATAACGGTCTATTTTAAACTTAAAAATAAAAAGATTGATTTTGAAATGCCCTTTTTGACAATGAATTCAACACCATTTCTTTTGATTGTGTGATTCCCAGCATAGTAAACCATACAATTATCTGATTCAAAATGGTCAATACCAGTTCATTTCAGCTCACTAATACTTAGCATACTAATCTTTATGTGTTCCATTTCATTTTTAACAACTACAAATTTCCCTAGATTCATATTTTGTACATTCTAAGTTCCAATTATTAGTAGAGTTTTGCAGCTACATCTTCTAATTTTGGCTTGTAACTCATCAGCAAATGAAGATCCCTTTACTCCATTCACATTATCATGGTGGTGTCTATTTTGAGAAAGCAGCTCCTCCTCATTAATATTTTCAGTGCTTTCTTGACCCAGGGGGCCCATCCTCTGGCACTATATCTGACAAAATTCTGCTTCCATTTATTAGGCCTTCAGTATCTGACAATGTTTTGAAGCTATGCATAAAGTTTTCCGTGGGTACTTCCTCCAAAGTGGGCAACTGATTTTACTTCTTAGTCTGTTCTTAGTCTAGAAACTCTACTGAAATCTGTTCACTTTGAGTGATCCTGCTGGCTTTTGAAATACCAGTGAGTTAGTTAATTGTGCCAGCTGGCGGATAATCACATGTGGGGCTGGTTGAAAGGCGGAGGGATAAATGGGTGGTGAAGCCTCGCCTTTCTAGTTCTC